TTTATTTATTTATTTAATTATTTCTATTCTTAATTTTCTTTCAATTTACGTATACCATATATCCGTGTCCGTCATCCGATAAAGAGTAATATTTTCGTTTAACGAGTAATTTCGAATCCGGAAAGATTTGTTATCGAGAAAGATAGATAAAGACAGATATATATAAAAGATAAAAAGAGAGAGAGAGAGAGAAAGAGAGTTTAATTAAAAGAGGTGAACCTGTTAAAAGTCGAATTATTCGCGTATCGAACAGGAACTCGTTATCTTTCTTTCTCTCTCTCTCTCTTTCTTTCTTTTTTACTTTTAATAAAAGTTTCATTAAAAATCTCGAGGCTGAAAATGAATTAAATAAAATATATTTTAACTCTTGTAAAAATATAATATATATATATATATATAATAAGCGATCTTTTCGGAAAAAATTTTTCTATAAATTTACATTTTGTTAAATGTCCGATTTAAATTAAACAATAGAGTGAAAGAATGAAGAGTAAGATTCAATTAATTATTCCAACATTTCCGATCTAAACTCTCCACACCATATACGCGAGAGAACGAGTCCATAATATCTTTGATAAACTTTCTCGATTTCATAGCTTACTTTCTCTTCGTGTGGAAATTTGTGTTTCTTGTGTCCACCATTTCTTCTTCTTCTTCTTCTTCTTAATATTTTTTTTTTCCTTCGTTTAGTCACGATCTGCAGAGGCAGCTGTCAAGAAGATATAAAATGTCGATCCTTTTTACTTCAAATCAACAACAACCATCATCATCATCATCATCATCATCATCTTACTCTTTCTATATTTCTGTTTCCCCCTTTTTAATTTATGTTTGGATCGTTAATGGGGAAAGCAGGCAGGCAGATGGTAGGTTGTTGGTTTTATTAAACGGTAAATAATGTTACACAACAACAACAACAACAACCGATCGAATTATTAATGGCTCTTGTAATTTTGTATTAATTTTCTTTTCTTGTTTTTTCAATTGAAATTATTTTCAATTATATTCATTTTAAGTTTCTTTAATTAATTAATTAGGTACCAATTGAAAATTCTACATTAGACTTTGATTGACACTTTACCTTTATAATAATAATAATAATAAATATAATCATATTATTATCTGAAACTTATATATATTATTAACATTTCATTTTAAAAGACCAATTGTTCCTTTGACTAATTTGGTTATAAATAAATTTACATAAATTTTCAGTAAATTTAGTGTTAAAAATTCTCTCATTCATTCCCTTTCTCTCTCTTTCTGGTTCTTGTAAGAAAAAGCTTCTCGCAATATTCTTCTGCGTTACCTGTTCTTCCTTGCACGCATGGAATGTTTTTGAACGAACAAAGAAACGAACAACTACGACTCCCACTCGTCTTCACGAGTACTACGAAGACCATCTGCTTCCTTTGGTTTTAATGTTCCTCGAGAAAGGAAGAACACTGCGGTTATTTCCTTTCGGACAATCTTTTGATGTTTCTTCTAACCGTATTTTATACTTACAAAATATTTTCAATGTTCAATACGCGCTGATTATTTAAATAAATCGTGAAAATTCAAAAAAAGAAATTTCTTTTTTCAATTTCCTTTATTTTTAAATATACCTTCAACGTGAATTTATTTTAACCAAATTAATTATTATCAATGTAAATTATAATAATTATAATAACAAGTATTTGTGTATGTGTGTGTGTGTGTGTTCTCGAGATATAATAATTAATTTCATTTGAAAAAACGTCGAAAGTAAGAAAAGACTATAAGTATGTGTATATATATGTATATCTATCTATGATGAAATAGTAATTATTATATAGACGTTAATTTACTTGTAAACAAGCTTAAGTTTGGTATACATATAGCAAGACTAAACGTAAGATGAGATACGAACAAAGACGAAAGTATTTCAATGAATAATGTGTCCTCTTATCACGTTATGTTCTTCACTCGTTACTTGACTCTTTCTAAGAAGAGTTTCGATAGAATACGAGACACCTTCTTATCACGATAGACAACCCTCTTATAAATTGTTAATGTATAAAAAATAATCGTATTATACAAAAAGATGACGAAGATATTATTTCTAAAGTGTTTTATAAGAATCTATTTAAGCACCATTAAATTTTCTTAAAATAAATTTGAAAAATAAGCAAGTATGTGTATGTGTGTATGTGTGTGTGTGATGATAAAAAAGATAAAATTAATTTAGTATTTTCTCTCGTCCAAAATTATAATTTTTGATGATAAAGTTTCATAGGGAACTTGGACATGAAAAGAAGTAGAACTTAATTTAATTGAGTTGGACGTTTCAAAACTCAAGTTTTGTTGAGGCTTTTAAATAATAACGATCAAACTATCGAAGTTTAGATGTATTGTGTTTTGGAATATTATAAAAAGAAATGTATGTCGAAATAAATAAAAAAGACGCTGAGCTTTAATGATTAAGTTGCTGAAGAAGTCCCAATAAAGGGACGAAACGTCCAACTCAATTAAATTAAGTTCTACTTCTTTTCATGTCCAAGTTCCCTATGAAACTTTATCATCAAAAAAGATAAAATTAATGTTTTTTATATTTATATATATATATTGAATAGGATAATTATAGTCGAAATTTTTATTCATTTTTAAACGATATTTAGGAGGTATTTCATTGTAGTTGGTTTCTATTTACAAAAATATATTGCTAAATATTCTCGAATAACAGAAATTTCAAAAAGAAATATATAAAGAAAGAGAAAGAAGAGGTGATGGTGGTGGTGGTGGTGTTGGGGAGATGGATATTTGTTCTTTTTAATCTTGAAGAAAATTTGCCAATCTTCTTTCTTATATTTTGTTTCCACCTGATTCCCCCCTTGTGTTCCTCATACGATATTATATCCCCCCACCCCCCCCAACCTCGATGAAATGAACTTTGGCTCGAAGGAGATCGTAATCTTCCATCTGCTGTGCATTCTAATCGTAAAATAGAGAAAGAGAATACCATTTGGATCATTGCACACACGTGGGAGGGGGGGGGGGCTCATGACCCCGAAAACATTCACCGAGATTTTTCGAAATCAAATCGATGTAGAACATGACAAAAAAAAAAAAGGAAATTAACTATTTCAAATGTTTGTCTATACAGGATGTCTCGAAAAAAAATCCTTATATCTCGAGATAAAAAAGAAAAAAGAAAAGAGAATAAAATACAAAAAACATATCGATGTAATAATGATATATAATTGTAATTATTTTGTTTTGAATTTTAATGTATAAGAATTTTTCCCGGTTATATTCGTGTTTTTATAAAAATTATGAATTTACGATGCATTTGTATTGAAAATTTTCGCGTCAAAAAAAAATATATATTGATATTTTATTTATAGCACTTTCTCTCTCTTTCTCGAGATAAAACAGGATTTAGAACGACCTGTATAATATCAGTTTTCAATGAAATAGGAGTATGAATAAAAAAAAAATGATTTTATTCGAATTTCTTTCCTTATTTGTAAATTAAAAAAATAAAGATAAAAAGATAATGGAAAAAAAAAAAAGAACGGAAGAGACATTTTATTATATCCCTATTGATAAAATTTATCTTAAGTTTGCATTGAACGTGCATACGCGTGTGATATACATAAATGCATGCAATAGAAACGAGTGTCACGTAACGGTGCATTTACGTGGGGGGACAACACCTCAGAGAAAGAAAGGAGGATTGCAGCAAATTCCTGTTCTTTTTTTTTTTTGATTTCTTGTTTTAACATATTGCCCAGAAGAAATAGCGGGCCAACGCCCACGAAAGAGAGGTTCGCTCAATTGTGAATCAAAACTTTTGAATATTTTCTCCGGTAAAAAAGAAGAGAAGAAACAACAAAAAAATACATGCGTGTTTCGATTCACACACGCGCACGCACGGTTCAAACTTTCAGACGCATATATGTTTGTCTCTTTTTAATGTCGTCTCCTCCTCATTTCCGTTTCATCGAGTTTTCACTTCAAAAAAAAAAAAAAAAGAAAAGAAAAGAAAAATAAGGAAATGCAAGAACCACATCATCGATGGTTATCCACAAACCACGAAACTAAAATATTCCTTTCTAAATCTACATTGTTGCATATTGTTAGAAGCAACTAAAAGAGGAAATGATTAGGAGATTAAAAGATAATAATGTTACCGGAAATATATGGTAGTTTTGTGCATAGTCGTTTTAAATGAAAAAAAAAAAAAGAAAAGGAAAAAAATTAAATTTTTATTATTGGAATAAATATTTTTTTTTCTTAATTAAATAATACTTATTCATTGTTCAATTATATTATAGATATATGTATATATCTCGATAAATAAATTAAAATATTACAGCAAAATATATCATTGTTATATTATATATAATATAACACTACATATGTTATAATAACAATAATAAAATCATCCCTTGTGGGGATCGAACCCACGACCTTTGGATTAGAAGTCCAACGCGCTATCCTCTGCGCCAAAGGGACTTATACCACCGAGAATAATAGTAATAATACATTATTCAAATATATATATGACTTAATATTATATAATAAATTATTATTAATAAAATATAAAATATTATAACAATTTGTTTTTTTTTTTTTAACAAATGACAATTTACAATAATAAACATTTATTCAAAAAATTACATGGTAGAATGGAGAAACAGGAAACGTCTCGCAAATTTCATAACCGGTCTCTTTATCTCTCTTTTTCTCTCTCTCTTTTTCTCTCTCTCTCTTTCTCTTATATGCACACGTAAAGGGTCAACGCTTCCGCGTTTGCTTTCTTGTGGGCACGAATGTCGTGTCGCAACGAGGAGGAGAAGAAAAAAAAAAATAAATAAAACTGTATCGTACTTTATCTTTACATGGAAAAACGTTACGTCTTCGGGGTCTTGCTATTTTATTCAAAAAATTCTTTCTTTAATTGTATCCTATCTCTCTCTCTCTCTCTCTCTCTCTCTCTCTCTCTCTCCCCCCCTCTATTTCTCTTATTTTATAGATGATATAAAAAAGAAATTTCTTTTCTTTTCTATATTCTTTTTGCCTGGCACCATATTTGACGATTACGTACCTTCCATTTATGTTATTTTCTTAATACAGTTCATTTCTAACATAAACGTATATACGTGTATGTACATGTATGTCACTAGTTTACCCGTTATCTCGTTAACGAGCTTTGTTAACATGTTGTTCCTCTATCCTTCTCCATTCTGGCTTTCACGTTTAATCCGTTCAATTTTGTTTCGTATTTGTGCGGATAAAAAGTGACACGTTGATCTTCACACGCACATAGTAACATTTATTAAAAAGAAAAAAACCTAATATTATTATACCTTGCGAATGTTAATGTTTTTTGATTGTAACTTTTGGTTGATAGTGTATGGATATGTATATAACGAACGATAGTAATCATGATTAGTTATCTTGATGAACATTTTCCCAGAGACCCTAGAAATCAGCCGACCATATATCCTGTACCTCCCCACCCCCCTCCCATCTACCTCATTTTCTTTCAACTGTTTTGTTCTTTTAAAACAACCCTCATGCGCGAATGCACCGAGCCGCGAAGGAGACGAAAATACGTTATATAAGTAAAAATAAGTGTATATATTATAGATAAATACATACATACATACGTATATGTATAAACATTGATAACGTTTTTCTTTATAGGTTGAACATTATTTGATTTTTTTGTTTTTGTGAATAAATTCCCAATCAAATTTATATATTCTATGATATTATTAGATTTTGCTTAATCTCACACATAATTGCATTTTTATATTTTTATATATTTATTTATTATTCAATTACTCAATATTTCTTTTAATACATATATATATTTATTGCATTTTCTTAGTCATCCCTCCTTTATCTTGAAATTTCGTGTTATAAATTCCCTCGATATTTTATTTTTATCTAAAAAAATATTTATGACGTACTAACACGTTTTTACTGATAAACAATATAAGTTATATATTTATTATAATCTACGCGTATATGAATATACATAAAAGTTCTAAAAAAAAAAAAATTAATATTTTAAATATAGTTTCTCTTAACGTTTAAAAGTTTCCTTAGAAAACTTCAATAAAATTAGTTGTTGACGTATTGTCAACGATAGTCTTATTTCGACAGGTATTGACGTCATATGACGGAGGTTGATGGTAAACGTATTGAAACTACGACGACGTCATTGTCGTCATCGATTCCAAAGACAACGAAATACTTGTTCTACGTCGCCTTGAACTGATTGTGAAAACTCATAGACTCGTTACACACCATACGATGAATGCATAAAAATCTAAGTTTCGTGAAACTTAAAATTAATTTCAATCTATCTCTAAATTACCGATTTTTCATAGTTTATCCACTCGTACCAACGTTTTTAACATGTATATCTTTTTTCTACATCGTTTCCTACAAGTTATTTCTGATTCTGATCAACATAGACATTGCAACATGTATCATTAAACTTAAGAATCAATGCATGCATTAACACCAAGGTTTCATAAAACCTACATCAATTTAAATTTGCTCTTACACACTAGCAATTTGTTTTTTTTTCTCTATTTGTTGTATGATATCAATGAAAACCTCGTTATCTTTTTTCTACATTATTTTCTGCAACTTATATCTAATTTAAATGAATGTACGTATGCCAACGTGCATCATTATAAATTGAAAATATCAATAAATACAATTAACAATATGAAGGTTTCATGAAACCAGCATCAATGTAAATTTTTCTCCCAATTACCAATTCTTCTCATCACAGTTGGTTATGCGATATTCAATTGAAACACGTGATCATTCTCCTTCTGCATCGTTTTCTACAAGTTATTTTTGATTCTGATCAACATATATTGCAACATGTATCATGAAACATAGGAATCGATGTCATGCATTGCAATATGTTCGAATGTATATATATATAAAGGGGTCTTGAAAGTCCAAGCTCTCTCTCTAGCAACAAGTGGCAACCCTCCGTTTCCGCTTTCCTTTTTACCGACTCCTCTTCTCTTGATATCTCTCTCTTTCTATCACTATCTCTGTTTCTCTTCTATCACTTTCTCCAAAGTACTTTGAAACGGAAAGGAGAACGCTCGTATCCAACAAAAGTAAAATTTAATACTTCAAGTCGACTCAATATCAAAGCGAATCCGTTTGATAAGGAAACAGAAAAATAATAAAAAAAAAGAAAAGATTTGTGCTGACTCAAGATTAGTTATTGTCATGATAATAAGTTAGTCTTTATTTTATGAAAGAATATGATACGCGATTAATCGTTGATTCATTAAAAGTTCAAAATAAGATATTGAAAAGAGTTGTCATTTAGGAATAAAATTATTATCTTTTACTTTTAAGAAAGAGATCTAGAATTATTGATAACAATTATTTCACACTAATGAAATATATTAATGTGTATATGGATTTTTTTTCTCTGTTATATTGTCGATTAAGAAATTTCTTCAAAATTCACAATACAATGTCAAATATTGTTCATCTCTATTTCTATTTTTATCTATCAAACCTCGTTTAGATTATATTATTTAAAAAAGACTTGTATAAACTAAATCCCACTGGTATATATCGTAACGATTTATTTCAGTTCTTCGAATTCTTGGAAATCTGAAAATATTTAAGATTGTATTAGTAGAGTATAAAATTAATTAAATGCTTTTATGCATAAATAATTTGTCTGTGTGTACTTATATGTATATACTTATACAAAAGTAATACATAAAAAAAATTATAAGCATATATATAAATCATGAAATATTATTATTTTTATTAAAATAATATCACACTTACGTTTACAAATATAAGATATATATTTATTTAAGAGAATTTAAATAATATATAATTTGTAACTCCGAAAAAAGAAAAAAAAAAAAAAAGAAAATATTCGATACTATTCGGCAAAAATCGTTGGAAATAATCGCGGCTAAAATATATAAGAAACTTTAAATGATATATTAAGCGGGAAAATAATGGACTTTAAATATGAGAAAAAGAAAAGACTGACCTACATATCTGAACATGACTAACCTATATAAAATTGGCATACTGACCTATATATATAATTTCTTAGAAAATACTTGATTTCAATGTCAAGGTAAACAACAAGAAAAATCTTTCTCGCTCGTTTCGACACACAGATATACCCTAACATAAGCATACGAATGAATGCCTCGAATTGAAGAGACAAATGATTAAAAAAAAAAAAAAAAACGTATAATATTCTCGAGACATAATTTTTTTTTAGACTCTCTCATATATATACAGATATTATTTTTATTATTTCAGAAAATGAAATGGAGACATTGAAACGTAAAAATAAAAAATATGGACAATAATTTTCCAACCGGTTTATCCTACTACCGCGAGTTTTTATATCGCGAATTATTAAACAAAATTTAATATATTTCAAACACGTGAAAGAAAATATCAAAACGCTTTAATATTAAAATATAAAAAACGAAACGATCTCTCGTAAATTCTCTGTTATAAAAATAATATTCGCACTGACGTGATACAACTTGAAATTGTTTAATTAAATAATATCTAATATGATTGAAATTATAAATAATTCTGAACTCTTTTAACAATGAGAGAGAGACCGAATAAAATTCTTTAGAAATATTCTTTTTATGATTGTTTCGTTTCTATAAATGAAAATTTAAATAAAAACAAGTTGAGAAATTATACTTATTGTTTTTGTATGATCTTTCACATGTTATAATATAGCAACCGCTGAAGAGTATGAAAAATAAAAGAGAGAGAGAGAGAGAACATAGACATTTCGTTGCTGTGAAACATTTTTTTTTTCCTTCTATTCATCGAGCGAGAATCAACGTGAAAGGCGGTGGTTACTCATTAGAGTAACTTTAATGAGTCACCCTTCTTATATATCCTTAGAGGCTTTATGGGAATGGAAAGTGCAGAGATAATGAGTGATTATTTCGATTCAATGACTTCTCTCGTAACTCACAGTGATTTCAAATCATTCGAGATCATTGTGCGTAGATTAATAACTTTTAAGATTTTTCAAAGTTATTTTTAACTTCATTTTTTCTTTTCTTATTATATTTTCTCAATATAGTAAAATATAAATATTATATATTAACATGATCAAAAATAACAACTGAATCACATTTTGGAGAAACCTAGCAACTAAAATATATAATTAACATACTTATGATTTTTGTTACAGATAAAAGAAGATGTAAGAAAAAAGTAAAGAAATATGCAATGAAAATGCCAGATTATGCATTACTTCCATTGAAGTTTGCTAAACTCGATCCTGATATATTTAGAAATAAATCGATATTTGCAGTAGAAATAAAACCGAAACAAGGATATCAACGTAAAGAGGAACAATTATTGCAAATGTGCCCGTATTGCCTTGCACAGTATTATAAGGTAATAAATCATTAACATTGTTTTTATTTATTATCTCCTAGGCCAATCATCTTTTTCTAACTATAAAATGAAATTACTTTGTTTCAGTTAAAAAAGAAAATGATTGATCATCGAAGCAGCTATTGCCCATTTGATCTTTTCTCTGGAGATGAAAAACGTATGAAAGAAGCGATCAAAGGGTTGTTAAGATCACCGCAAAACAATTTAAAAATCTTCAAGGATGGAACGATCATCTACGATCAAGAATTTTCAATGAATGATCTTGAAACAGTATTAAATGATTGTTATCAAAGCGTTGATGATGTTTGTACCAAAGAGAGCACCATCAACTTGTTTTGCAATTTGACCTGCACTGCACTTTTGCATTCTTTTCCTCAAAGCGAATGCTCAAAAGTAATAATGCAATCAACGCTTGAACGTAATCGCTTTTATCATATTTCTGAACGTGATTCTGAAGTTATTCGTGATACCAACAAAGAATTCATTTCAAAAACAAGAAAACTGTTTTATCTTATACAGGAAGTAAGGATTTCGTTTTTTTTTATATATAAATTATTCGTTCAGAATAAGTATTTAGTAGTACATAGTATAATGTTATTTAACTTTTCGATCAAATATATTCATTAATTTATTTTTTATAGAAATGTAATCGCGAAACTAATGATTTACCTAAGGACTGTGTATTGGAACGAATACTTTCCATGCAGAGATTACCATATGTTGGTACAGAATACATTTATGATATCTACGATAAATATTCTACAGTGATAGACGATGAGATCATATACTCTCATTTAATAAATTCTTCTCGGAATTATACCAAAGAAAAACATGAAGTTTCCAATGAAAATCATAGCAATAATTGGTTAACTATGGCTTCTAAAAATGGAGAGAACATTGAGTTAATTGAAAATAAGAATCAATGGAAAAAGAATTTTTCTTGCAAAAACGAAGAGTTTATGGATAAAAGTAATAATGAAAAAAAAGATATCGAACATAATAGCGATAGGATATCTAATAACATAAATGAAAAAGATTTAATAGCATTACAAAATTATCTTTTGTTTTCAACTGCAAGAGACTGTTCGATATTAATAACTTTTCAACAATTAAAACCGTAAGTTTTTATATATCACATTAAATGTAATTTCCTTTCAAACTATATGAATTTAATATTTTCTTCTTTGTTATTTTTACAGGGAAGCATTATTATCTGTTCCAAAAGAATATGTAATCAAAATATCTGAAGATCTTTGTTTCCTTACAAGTGTGAATGTTTCTGATGTGGATCCAAAAAGTATGAGCAGTATTCCAAGACATCGTCAAAGAGATATAAATATTCTTAACGCGGTGACATCTGCATTAAAAGAAAAATTATCTCTAAATGATCATTAATGAATATTTAATCATAGATATTTAAATATGTTTAATTATATTTTAACTTATTGATTATTTTAATTATTTTAATATTACGTTTTCCCATATTATTAACCTAAAATCGATTATTCTGTTTGAAATAATTTTATTATATTATGATATGAATATTTTGTTAAAGTGGAATAATCTGATTAAAAGAACATTATCGTTCCATTAATTAATTAATTAATAATAATTAGAAAAGATTGTTAATAGTATATCAAAAAGAGGCTAAATAATTTTCATAAATTATTTAAAATAATATAAAAATATTTCCAAATATCGATAAATATGCAGCAAATTCAAAAGAAAGTAACACTTGAATCTTCTGTAAACTTTTTAAAGTTTTAAACAAAAAGTACAAAAGGTATCGATCACTTTTATGTATTCATAAATTTAATAAGTATTTCAAAGTTGACAAAATAATTAAATAACATTAATTTTGTGATTTCATTTTTAAACTTTAACTATATCGATTATAATGGGTATCGTAGTTCAGTATATCGACTATGCATATAATAGAGGCGCTTTGATCGCTTTGTTTTTATGTATTCAATCCGCGGGAAAATTTGAATTGATTAAAATGTATTACAAAAATGGTATTATATATGAGTGATGTAATTATTATATTTCTTTTAAACACACAAATTTTTGTATTTCATAAGACTGAATTATAGATAATAACTATAGGCATAATATCATTTCAAATATAATTACTTAAATTATATTCTCTTTTGTATTATACTTTTTTATTTGCATCTTATTTAAATTGATTTTAAAAATAATGCACAAAACAATGATCGTCTATGAAATTATTTAAGAAAAAAAATATAATTGTCAAGTAAATTGCATTGTAAATATATTTTCTAAGGTGAATAAAATGTCAATGTATTATTGTATATATTTTGATTGGATCCTTAAACGCACTAGTATCGTATATAACAATCTGTCATGACAGTGGTAAAGTAATCGAATTTTCATAGAATAGACTAAAGTGCAAGGCCGTTCAACAGTTATGAATGGCACAGTTGGAAAATGGGGAAAGTCAGGCAACGTCAGGACCGAAACAAAAGAAGGTGCATAATAATGCACCCGTTTTATTGAAACTCCGTTATTTTTTATTCAATCTTATAATTAAATTCGAAATTACATAAAAATTGTATAAATCATATTCTGTTACATAAACTATTATAAAGAACGTTTTTTAATTTAAAAAACGTCTCATCGTATATAAAAAAAATGCAATTAATTCGATTCGTTAAATAATATTTTTAAACAAATAATCAATATAACCTAATAATTTTAAATACATAAAAAAAGATCGATCGATATCGATGCTAAAAAGAAGAAAATGAAAGAAAAGAAACGGAAGAACAAAATTACATTAAAAATAAAAAAAAAAAAAGAACAAAAAATAGAAATTCAGACGTAATAAACGTCATAATTTAACTAGACGCCCCCACGTAGCTTTATTAAAGTCACGTTATTCCAACGTTCGCATTTACTCGTATCTTCATGTAGAAAATGTGTGGGCGTGAGAAAGAGGAAAACCTTAATTACGGAATTAACGTCATCGTTGACAACCTATCTTTGTTTCATACATATAAATACTTTGCGCGAATATAATTTCAATTTTTACAATCTTTAAAATATAATATTTCTATCTATAATAATAAAAAAATAAAATTAGAAAAGAAAAATTTTTAAAAATGTCCTTAGAAAAAGATAAGAAAACAAATGTTAACAAAAATTTCATTACGTTATATTAACGAACAAGAGGGGCACTCGATATGACTAGATACAGTATTGAACGTAATCCAAATTCGTTCAATGATTGGTCAACGAGTACGAAGAGACATCGTGCGTCTTCGACTATCTTCGATTCTCAACGTAGCGAGTGCATACAATGTATGAAACAGGATAGAGATAGAGCGCGCCCTTCGAGAGAAGTAAGTAATAATAATAATAATAGTGGTAATAGTATTAGTAGTAGGATAGTAGGCAGCACCAGTACTGGTACCACTACTAGAGCACCGGAGTACCAATAATAAGTAGAAAGGACATGAAAGCACAACTAGTAGAAGCAATAGTACCGGCAATGTTAGCGTGGCAGCAGCACTAGTATCAGCAGTAACACAGCCCTTTCTTCCCCCTTTCCCGCCCCAGTGGTAATCCGGAGCCCGAGTTATTGCGCCCCTCCTTGGCGAGGCTGAGACGCAGGGCGCTCGTCAGTCGACGTTCGTAAATGGCTACGTATCGATGTCGAGTGCCCGTACCGAGCTCGTGAATCGTCTTACGTGATGACGGCTCGTCACTGAAACTCGGACGGCGATGGGCACGCAAAAGCCGGTAGAATGGGCCAATTCGCTAATTGCGCGTTTCGAGGAACAGGTACACACACATACATACACTCGGTCGCACCCCCAATTTTTATTTTATTATTTTCTTTATTTCTTTCCTTACATCCTTTATTACCCTTTTTAGGTCTACCTCTGTCTCTGTCGCTTTTTACCTATCTTTCTATCTTCCTATCTTTTTATCTATCTATCTATTTGTCTCTTTTTAACTTGACACATATACGTATTTCATACGCACGCATACACGTAAAGCTGTTTTCTGCCTTCCGAACGGCAAGCCCATCTTCTTTCTCTTTTCCCAACCCTCTTCCGGTGTTCGACATTTCTCTCTCTCTCTCTCTCTCTCTCTTTTTCTCTCTCTCTCTCTCTCTCTCTTTCTCTTACATTCTCTTTTCGCATACATTTTATTCACTTTACTCGTTCTATTCATTAGATTCTTTCGACGAATTTATTTGCAAACGATAAAAAGAGACAAGAACGAACCCGACTTTGTTCGTAGAAAACAGCACGTATGCACTTTGACAATACGTACCTATAGATATATATATATATCAAAATCAACAAACATAAAAAAAAAACTCTAAAATAACACAAATAAATAAATGCAACAATTACACAAGGATAAGTTTCCAAAATATGCGACACGTATCTCTAAAAAAGAATAAAACAAAGAGAAAAAAAATAGAACATTTGTTTCTTTCAGTTTTCCTCTTTTTTTAATTCATCCGATTGGTCTCTCTATCTATTTTTCTCTCTCTCTCCCCCTCTCTCTTTTTCCCTCTTTCTCTTTTTCTCTTGCGTACACGCCTCTTTCTTTTAATCGCCTTGCTCTTTTCCTCCCTTTCTCTGTTTCTCTCCCTCCTCCCACCCATCTCAACCTACTGATTCTTCTTCTCTTTTTCTCTTAACACGCGGTTGCTTGCAGTCACGGAAGTGTCGGACGGTGAACGATCGCCGATGGATTGTGATTAACGAACGTTTTCAACCAACGGAATTGAACGGGATAAACGAATGAACGAAAGGGGCGGTTACTCTCCCTCTCTCTCTCTCTCTCTTTTCGATTCAGTAAATAATACGTTTGCCGAAACGTAGATATAGAGAAATATCAATTAATCTTTTTCTCGATAATTTTCATTAAAATTTCCCTTTAGTATGTAAAAAGATAAAAAAAAAAAGAAAAATGAGATGAAAGAGTAAAAATAAACGAACACGAACGAAACGAAAGGAGAAAACAAAAACAGGAAAAGAAAGAAAAAAAAAAACAGAGGCACTTGGTCGTGTCGTTCAATTCGCTCATTCATGGAAAGATGCTTCATCGCGCTCCCTTTCATCCCTCTTTCCTCCCCTTTCATGCTTTGACCTTCGCCCCCACCCCTTGCGCACACTCAACCCCTCTGTCTTCTTCCTCTTCCTCCTGCTCCTCCCCCCCTTCCTCTTCATCCAACGCGGGAGCTATTCAGTAAAGGTGTATATAGCCTGGCCCATCCCGTCCACTTTCAGCCCCTCCTTTTACTCACACAACGTTGTCCCCTTCGTGGTGCCGATGCATGAATGAAAATTGTATTCGCTCGGCGCACGATTCATATCACATCATCATCGACTGGAAAAAGATAATATCCTATGATTGTTACCACCTTTGTCATATTTATTTAATTTTGTATACCTTTTTAATACGATTTCTTTCATTTTGTAAAATGTTCTATTCCTTATCTTTCATCTCATAACTTTATTACTTTTATTTTTGCTATACTTTCCATTTAATTGTAAGACATATATAAGGTCTTAAAAAATAATAGTCGAACTCTTCGATTCAATAATTCTATACTCGTCTAATCTCGGTCAACGAGCACGAATAAATTTTTGTCTAAACACGTACGTTCGTTCGTTCGTCCGTTCGTTCCTTCCTTCCTTCTTTCCCTTTTAGAGACGAAATTGATTTGGTTTTATTCATACACCGAAATTCGAAGCATTTGAAATGATTAATTGTTTTGATTTGTTTGATTTCATTCATCTACAGCTGCCGTGCCGTACCGGCCCCCAAACTACCCATTCTCGGTTGAACGAAGAAAGAAACCAAAAATGTCTTATCAAAATTTCGCGATATCGTTTTTCTTTGGTAATATCCGGCCTTACGAAGATGCTACAACGCGTAAACGAAATGTCGCCTTCTATCGGAAATCCTCGTACCGATCAAGATCGTCAATGTTATGAATCTATCATTATAGTTTTGGATACATTAGAGAAATGTCTTGTTAATCAACCGAGAGATACTAAGAAATATGACGAGGCTATGAATGTAAAATTATTGCTTAGAGAGATATGCCAATTTATAGGTGAGCATAGTTCCTCCTTTTTTATTCTTTTATTTTATGCATTTACTATTAATATATCAACCATTCACATGCCAAAGCAATTAATTCTAATTTAAAAATATTTCCAAATTTTATTATCATAGTGCTTGATCGATATACTCAAATTTTTAATTTTAAAATAAATATCCTTAATAATTTTTGGCATAGTAACACTTAAATGGTTTTTATTTATGCTTAACAAATAACAAACGTATTTAGCTTTATAAATTGTTATTATTTTTTTCTTTTGCTGAGTTAATTGAATTTGGCAAATGACCGGTTTTTATGGAAATGTTGATATTAAATATCGTTACATGTTATTTTTGCAGACATACCAAATGATATCCTTCAAAATGGGCATCTTAAGAATTTGGCTAGCAAAGTACTTTTTGCCTTGAGCCTAAACTTTTTCACTGCTGTTTTTAATAGAATATCCGCAAGATTGCAAGAATTATCTAATTGTGGCGATGAAAATCCAGATTATAGTGACATTGAATTAATTCAGCATATCAACATTGATGTCTATAGATTAACTAAAATTTTAAATGGTAGTATAATATATATTTTTACTTTTTTAATTTTGTTTTAATATTAGATACGCTTTTATGATAATTTTAAATGTAAAATGGTATTGATTTTTGTTTTACTTAGAAACTATACAAAAATTTAAACAACTCAAGAAATCGGCTCACCTGGTTCTTATGAATTCATTGGAAAAAGCTATTTGGAATTGGATGGATACTTATCCGAGTGAATTTGCTGATATCCAAAAGAGACCTAATGAAGATTTAGCTAAAGCATGCGAAGAACTTTTTGATATTCTTGACGCATATGTCGATAATAAGAAAGGAAGAAATGCAGTTCTATGGCCATTGCAAATTATGTTGCTAGTATTATCGCCTAAAATATTGGAAGAGATTGTTAATGCAGATGCTGGAGTACCTATTTCACAAAAGCATGAAAAAAAAAAACAATTTATAACTAGTGTTAAACAAGGTTTGGGAATTCATGGCAGCTCCAGCAGACATTTGGTAGAAGCTGCAGCAGTGACGTGCGTTAAGCTCTGTAAGGCATCTACGTATACAAATAATTTCGATTCCAATAATGTCATTTTTAAATTAGTACAACAAGTTATGAAGGATCTAATAGCACTGTTGTTTAACCCCAACAAGCAATTCTCACGTGGTCAAA